GGCACTGTAGGTCTCCAAAGATGAAAGGTCTGAGCTGCAGGGAGCATTTCTCCACCTACATGTTTGCCACACACTAGTTTGGCAAACACTTTATGCTTCTAACACCTCTCTCACAAAAGAGTACACCAACAAGCTGATAAACATCAGCACCAGAACGCATTCAGAAAACAAAATACATTATCTACATGTGAAGACCACTGTCAGTGAAATCTGAAAATAAAATCAACCAGTAAAGAGAAATCCAAACATACATCTCCAGATATGTTTGGCTACCATTTAATGACACCTTTCAGACACTGGATAAGGGGACTGAGATACATATGGCCGCAGTGGGGAAAATGAAGCTGAAGTAAGAGAACAGTTCTGCTGTGAGCAGGGCCCCATACTGAAGAGAGGCCTCAGTTTATCCTTAAGGTCTTGTTGCCTCCATTTATTCTGATTTCACTGTTGTACCATCAGAAAGAGCTGTAGGAAGAACCTGGAAGCACATGAACCAGCAGGAGCAGGTTAAAAGTGACTTACCATCAACAGTGCTCACAGCCCTATCAAAACCACCTCAAAAGCCTGATAAAACCTTCAAAGTGTTTTAAAACTGTTGGGTTTTCCTAACAGCAAACCAAGTCATGGTGAGGATGACTGGCTGTGTGTGTGGAGAAGAATAAAACCAATTCAGATGCAGACACATTTTTAAAGTAGTTTAGCCAATGAAGCAGTGGGCAGCTAAGGTGTCTTGAGTTCAGTTAGTAAGTACATTTGGCTATTACAGTCAGCAACCAACTCTTCCCTTGGATTTAAACACTTTTCGTGAGCAGTGCAGCCTTGGTGGTTCATTTAGCAAACATGTCCCTGGTCTATCATTAGGGAAGGTCACCTTAGGCTGATATTTGGGCTGATCTTATACAGAGATAGTAATTTTATAACTACAGTATATGACACTGCAAACATCAGGCCTGTGTTCAGTTGAGTCCTTTGAGAAATGGAATGTTAACTGGAAGAAAAATTAAAAAGATGTATGCACTTTATATTCTGTATTAAAATTCCTGATACACACACAACCCCCTACACGTATTTAAAAAAAGTAATACATGCACAACTAAAAAAGCAAACCAACCACAGTAAGAACTTGCTCCACAGTCACAGTAATGCAATTGATAAATGTTGTCACCTATGTATAGATTAAAAATAGCATGCTGCAATGGTAGTCGTTTAGTATTAGAGGCATCCCAATGGGAACTCAGAAGCAGGAGAGGGGCTCTGAAATGCCTTTTCTTGGCATGGGCCACGGGTAACCTCACTGAAATGCCTGCAGAGGGGGAGGCACTTAACCTTACAATCCCCTCAGGTGCCCATATGGTCAGTTAAGTGCAAGACTTAACCTGCCTTGGGTCAGACCTAATTACACAATAGTCTGCCTTGCATGCTTGTACTCAGGTGCAAGAACAGATATAATTATCCAATTTATTTTTAGTTTTCTCACTGTAATGAATAAACTTCAGTTTGTGATAACCAGGCTTATTGCTACCTGGGAATAAATCCTGTGAGCTGGTTGTAGATACAGGGAGAAAAAAGCTAGGACTACAAGGAGGTTTAGTACAGATACAGGTATCTCTCTTAGGGTGTTTGAGCCAAAGTAACATTCACATGAGAAACCCAACTTCCAACATTGCTACAATACTGGCCCATGAGCTTACAGGAGGGAAATGCACACTGAAATTAAACTGGCATTAAAAAAAAAGTCATCTACATTTTACCATCTAGTACAAAAGGCAAGAGTGAGGTCCAGCTGCTTCAGGAAGCTGTGTCCTTTAAATAATCAACACTTTTTTTTTTTTTTTTTTAATGGTACACATTTGTATCTACACAAATAAGCAGTCAAGCCACTGGTGTGGGTCACCACTGCAGGTGTTGATTCCTGCATTTATTTCAGTATTGCCACCTTTAACAGTTTTGCACCTCTATTTTCATTTAATTTAAATCCCAGGCCGGGGCCACTCTGCTACTTTGCAACCACACATCAAGACTTGCTTATTCTGCTGAATTCAGTTCTTTATACAAGTTAGAAAGCTGGTCTTTGGTTCTGTTTCATTGGGCTGATGTGCCCTTTCAAGCAGAAACGCATTTTCTCCAGTCTAGCAAAAAAAAAAAAAAAACCAAACAAAAAAAAACAACGAATCCCGCTTCTTCTTTGACCATCACTAAATTACTACTACAATAGGCAATTTAAAGGCACATTCTGCTAAAGTGTTTACAGTAGATTAAGGGGTAACTCAGGGCTGTGAAATGGCATTTAAAGCTCTATTCTGTTGTTAGACACTGACCTCACTGTGGTGATAACTAATCCTCACTGCACTCAGAGAGAACTTTGCTCCTGGACCATGTTTTAACATTTCCACAGATAATCACCACTCATCATTTTTCCAGCCTGTTCCCCTCAGTTAACTGTTTGCCATTTATTAATTCCAATAGCATCCAGGTACTCCAAGGTATACTGTCAGAGCCCTTTGTCTCCTGAATCAGAGCACAGTCCAACAAATTTCCAGGGTGTTTAATTATGAAAAAGAACAAATCACTTATAGGTCATTTGTGAGAAAATGCATTTTTGTTGTTTGGCTGTCTGAGAAACTAATAAAACAGACCTAAAAATCACACATCTATACAGAGAGCAAAGTTGCTTTTCTTACTGAATCGTTGCTACTTAACACACCCAGATACCTGAAAAAAAACAATTTCCTTATTTGCTGTGCATTTCCTCCTTCAAGCATATGCATCTATACTGTAGAGCTATTTAGGAATGACAAGAAACTGACATGCAATTTGACTCATTATAGACACCAGACATGAGTCAAATCCTTATTAAGTATCCTTTGATTGACTTGAGACAAAGAGACAGGACAAGTACAAGCAAGTGTCTAAGACCTGCCCTTACACTTGTGAATAATGACCTTCCAAAACATGTGACAGAGTAACAGATTAGCAGAAGCAAGTTTTCAAAGGGCTAAGAACTAGGGAGATAGTCAGGGCTTCTTGACTCCATGGCATCCTTATGCACCACCACCACCACACAAGTCATCTGGCAGCTCATCAGCCTGACAGCAACAGGTTGGAAACACCACAAGAAGCTCATTGTTATGCTCCGGATTTAAAGCTTAACAGTTAATGGCTGTCAGCAAGTTTGCCCAGAATCCTGTACAACACAGTATTTCACAGCCATAACACTAGCTAGTAAAGTATTTCACAGATTGAAGATTACCAAAGTTTTGAGTCACCTAGCTGCCTGCATTTATTCATTTGTATATTCCTTTTTGTTCCCAAACTAAAAAAAAAAAAAAAAAATAAAATCAGCTGGTAAACTTGTTTAGGACAGAGGAAGACTCTTCCCAGAACAGTGTGTTTATGTGTAAGTTAAGAACATCTCGGTCTAACAGCCAAACATTAAATGAGGATCAGTGTCATGTGAAGTGATCATGTTTCTTGGAAGATGAGTATACTATTTGTAGCTCTTTGTCACTTTAAACTGAAAGGGCAGATAAGAGCAGCTTTATGAATGGTTTGTGTTTAGACACTATAGAAGACCGAGTCTTTCCCAAAGCATTTTAATACCACTGTATGAAAACTGACTGTGACTGGTAGTACTGTGGGAATTAGCCATTTACTTTAGGAACACATAGTCTCCAAGTTGGGCAGCAGGGAATGGGATCTGAAAGACCCTGCGCCTCCCTTCTCACTCTCCGCTGAGGAAGATGTATCACAGTGTTTGCACCTAAGTTTAAATACTCTCCCCACTAAGCTCCAGCCTTTGTCAATACCTGCTCTTTTTAAAACAACCGTCTCGACACTCAACAGAATTAGGGTTCCTGAGTGATAATAGAGACTAAATAAATTATTATAACAAAGCTCAGGGAAGCTTGTGGACTTGCTTTTGAGTACAAGCTCATATCCCACTTGCAGGCAATTTACATAGGATACAATTCATAATTTTACAAGACAGTGAGGGATTTTTCATTCCATACTTTCCTCCACAGATCTACTGATTTCAATTATTTCAACAAGTCTTCCCAAGTACAGACTTTTTTCACATGAAAAAGCAGACAGTGAGATGAAGACCATCATAATCTACCAGTATCAGTACTATCAACTGTCCTAAAACACTCTAGCCACAACAGTATAAAAACCGGACATGTTCTCCCCACATATTCAGTTACAGGACATTCTTAGGTTCGAAAGAAAAAAAAAGAAAAAAGATAAAAGCATTTTATATTGCAGTGGAATAGCCAATTTCACTTTAATACAAAAAGGTGGAAAAATTATCATTTTGGTGCTTTAAAGCAGTTTAATGATTAAGTCCCAAACTTCAGCCTGGAAAATGAAGTCCCAGAATATGCCTGTGTTCCCTGATTGAAGGTGTAAGAAGTAGCTGTAGTAGCAATTTATCATATCATTATCAGCTGACATGGGGGATGCACATTATCCACTTCTGATATAAGCAATTTTTATGCATTGTCCAGCAGAGATGTCTTCCTCCAAGCCAGCATGCGCTGTGTGCTCTGTCCTTCTCATGGGGAAGGAGAAAACTGGCATTTTTAACATCTGTATTTGAATGCCAACCCTGACAATAGCTCTGAGCAGGTCTGCTGGTAAAGATGTGGACAGAATGGCACAGTCAGTATACTGACTCTATTATAACAGATCCACCAGAAATAAGTTTTGTAGGCAAAAGAAAGAACCTTTCAAGTTCATTGCTAATGCTTTCCTTCACTCCTTTTAAGCACATTGTTGTTTGCACATATTTTTATCAGAGCACCAATAATTACCTGTATGCCAGATACTCATGCAAGTTATCTTAAAGTTGGTATATCCAAAGAAATAAGGTCATAGGCAGGCTTAAGCACAAAGACACCATCTATAAGAACCAAGCATTAACTTTGCACCTCAACCTCTACAATGTCACCTTCTAATCACAGCAGTAACTAAAACCAATGAACTATCACAAAAGGAAGTACTTCCTTCTGTACATGATTTTTATTATTTACATAATACAATATAGCATAGATGCTGGGTAGGATTATGTGCAATACATAAATATGAACTATCTGTACATGTTTTCTTATCTAATAACTCAGAAGAACAAAGTTAGAAGCAAAAACATGATGCTTTTAATAGGAAGTAAAAACTAAGATTGAACACTGCAATAAAAATTAAAGAGTTCAGGAGTAGTGCCTTGTGTACATACATAACTATTTACAGATGAGAACAGGCATTACCACAACACTAGTCTAAACTGTACTTGTTTATAGAAAAAAACCACAAGTTTCATACATCACAAAAACCCCTTCCATTATAACACAGAAGTGATATTACCAGACAAGCATCAGTGAAGTATACTGCCTTTTCTAGAGTTGTTATTGTACAATGCTGTAGATAATGCAGCCCATGCAATACACCCAAGAACACTACAGTCCCACACTCAAGTACAATTAAAAATTATAAAGCAGCCCTCCAAGAGTGGTTCCAGCTACCACTTAAGTCTACAGCAGCCATGTTGTGTATGGTTTTCCATGCAGAACGATGCAACTGTTACATTTAAAACTATAAAAAATTAACTCCTAATAATCTTTTGAACTCAGAACACACAGAACTTAAGTAGTATATAAATAATAAACTGCTCAAATATTTCAGCAACTTGCTCACACATGTTGCTTGACAGAGCTGCTGTGGTATACCTAAAAATGTATGTAACTTTTTTCCTGTAAACTGATCTTACAGTATTTTGCTACCCAACATTTTTATCTATGCAAGGAAAAAGAGACAACTGTGATGCAGACCAGTTCGTAAGTTCTTAGCAGGACATTTCACTTGGGAACCTATTTTCTAAAGTTCACGTAATCTTTTCCAAAAGAGCTTTATTCTCACATGTATCTGATTTTTTCCATTTTTCTCACTGCAATTGTTAAGTGACTTTCTTAAATATGGTACCAACACGCATCTTACTAGGCTGGTGGACTCCTCTACATAGCTTGCATTCTGCTGGAAAACAATGGAGTGTGGAAACTAAAATTAGCATGAGATTTTAAATTATAGAAGTAGACTGCCAACCTTTTTGATGTATCCTTCTCCAAAACAGGCACGTAGCACTAGCCAATGATTATATACCTCAAACACATCCCAAAAGGCAGATTTGCTGCAAATGTGCAGACAGCATACATCTGTTTGGCACATGTGAACTATAGTCTGTCCTCTGTGCATGTGTATTCCTGTGCAGGTTTCTGATCATCCAGTTACATTCTGGGGAGGGCATATATATTTTCAAGGGCTGTATCTATCCAATTCTGCCTGTAACAAACACCCAAACGTTCTGAAATATCATTAAGACAGACAAGACTGAAAGTAAAGCTTTGGAGAACAAAGGAAAATGGCCATGCACCTGCTCTTTTGTGTTTTCCTAGGATATATTGAAACAAAAAGTCAGTCAGTCTTTTCGCAAGCAGGTTAATTTATATTCTCTGGATTTTTTCAGCAACCACAACTGGATTCTCTTTCCTGATTTTTGCTGCAGCCTCTGCTTTGTAATCATACGGGCAGTTATGCTTGTCAGAATAACGATGAAGTCCACAAAACAAGTTTCCACATCGGCAGTCAAATCCTGTTCATAGAAAAAGAAGCAACATCACTAGGAAGCTTCAGGTCTAATTAAGTTGTAAATTAAGGGCTTAATCACTACAAAGGGGGTATGTTCACCTACTCTGACATACAGAGTAAGAAAAATTAGCAGGGGTACTAAGTTGTCTGGATTCTGAAGCAGCAGGTGAGTTTAATAGTACAGATATTGCATCAAGTTTAATTTAGCAAGAGGCAACTAATCATACAGATCTGCTCAAAATTCACAAAGTGTTCTCATACCTGTAAGGCCAACCTTCTTTCTGCACATAAAACATCTGTTCTTCTTTGGTTTGGGCAGCTCAGGAGCTCTCTCTTCACTCTGTGAAGTACTAGGCTGAGAAACTGATGGGCTTGGTTGAGTAACAACTGTTAAAGCAAGCAAAGGAAATAAAGGTCAAATTTCCTTTTATTGACTTTACTAGCTATTCAGTAGCCTGCATGCATTTTTTAAGGATTGATTCCCCCTACTAAGACCCCAAAATTTGTTGTCTAAAGTACTAGACTGATCTACAAAAATGTAAAATCAGGAACAGGGATTTTTAGGTACTCTATTCTTCCCTTTTGGTTCTACACAAGACAATCAGATTTTCCCCACAGTTCCACCAGCAAGAAAATATAAGGCACTTGTAACACCTATACATGTGTACAGAGGTCTTAAGGGCTTGGAAAGCACTCCAGAAGTTCCCTGTACACATTTAATACTTCAAAAATCATATGATCAAGTAACAATTAATCTAAAACAATATTATCACAGCTAAAGTTCCTGAACAGATGGGACACCTGTAGAGAATATAACTAACAGGAACATATTTTAGAAACAAATGAAATTCAGCAATCTGCTACTATTACAGTACTGGGTTACTCTGCCACTACATTTGTGAAGCCAGACACCTAAAACAGTTCAGAGACAGCAGCTATCAAGCCACTGATTCTGTGACAGATGCAGAACACAGCTAGAACACACGCACAGTTCAAAAGAGCCCTCATGTTTTTGACACTTCCAGTAATTTGAAGAACAAAGTGCAGACTTACATTGTATTTCTGTACTATATTCAAGTTTTAGTGTTCGAACAAGTATAGTCAGAATTTTCAACAGTCTGTCATGAACACCTTCAGAGAAACTTGAGTCACATTTTACTTAAGTTCTCTGAAGGTTAAAAACTTGTCCTTTTGTGAATCTGTTAATTTTAAAAAATTATTTTTTTTCCAATCAAGCTTTTTTTTAATATCCTCTTTATATCCAAACTGGAATGAAGGAAAGCTGAGTGGTGTGTCTGAACACAGCTTTAACACTTGTCCCTTGTCCAGTTTTCCCAAACACAGGCATATGATGATGTTTTTGTAGTCCTACAATCACTACTGTTATTGTTACTTTTTGCAGTAATTTTTGCTGCTGCTTTTGCTTTTTTGATAAAATAATTTATTTGTCTTGATGATTAACATTTTTTAGATAAACAGATATGGTCCTCTGAACTTGCATTTAGGTCCCAAGGAAGAAGTGTTCAGTATCAGTTAATCCAAGAGACTGACCAAAAAAAACACAGGTTAAAAACTAGCAACATCACAAATAGTGTAAACTTGGCCAACAGCCATCAGCTATGTCTTTAAAAAAAGACCAAACACCTCCCAAAAAGCATGGTCAGACTCCTTTTAGATTTGTTATATTGCTAATTTGTTTAAAAGTGAAATACTAATCACAAGCCATGGCAGATGAAAAAGAGGAACCAGAAATGCTCACACACTTGGCAATGTGTATAGCTAGCCAAGGGGAAGCTTCACCTGCATCAGAACCAACTTACAGATAAGAGCCTTGGGAACATGCATGCTGTTTCAATCAGATGCAGAAGAAAATGCAGAAGGGGTTAATCAGTGGTGACCTAATTAACTGAAGCCATTCACAACATGCACTAAGAGGAAAATGAAAACAAGAAAAGGAACAACTTTTATCACTGCCTAACACAGCAACAAGGAAGAAAAGTAGAAATAGCAATTTCCCAGGAATCACCTAGGCAGACAGATAGCCAAGTAGATCACTACACAAAAGACACTGAGAACAAATCCATCTAAGAGAAGAATGTTAGCAACTACTACAAGTATAGTTCCTACTTTGCATGAAGAAACGGTGACAACTGGCAGCCCAGGAAATGGAAAGTGATCCCAAGACACTGTAGCAGCACGTTTCCTGAAAGAGCTGTTGAACAGGATCCTACCCCCACCTCTAAATCACATTCCAGGAAGGAAAAGCAGTACCCAACATGCAGTAATGGGCAAGACAAGATGGGACACAGCCCCCTAAATCCAAATTTAGGCATTCACTTTATTACTCTCCATGAATGAAGGCATCTCCTATTCTTTTATGCCAGCAGAATTAAATCTGCTGAGTATTTACCATGCTAGACCTTCATAAATATGCTTCTAGGACAGAGGCAGAGCTGCCTATCCTGCCCCTTATTTAAAGCTCACAAAAATTCTTTTTCATCAGACTGTGGCTCAGATGAAACATGCTATAAATTGTAGTTGCTCTGCCATGGTATCAGGAGCCGAGGTAAATGCATCAGATACTATCCTAACAACTGCATGCCACAAAAGGTTTCCTTTAGCACAGAAGCCAAATCCAACTAGGCAATTGCAATTCTAGTCCTCAATATATTGAATTAATTTTATGCCAGAAATAACACAGTGCTAATCATCAGTCTAAGTGCTCTGAATGATTGTTGTCTGATCACCATGGAAAGAATAACTGAAAAAAAACCAAAAACCAAAGCAAACCAAAAATGCCGAAAATCAGAAAATAGTGGTTACCAGTACCTTTAGATCTGCTTCCTCAGCAACAGTGTTCAGATGAAGCAAACCCCTCACCACTAAAACAGGTTTTATCACTTTAACAGAGTTCCTGTTGGCATGTAGCCCTCTCCATTACCTTGGTCTTTTCCCTTCCCAACCTCTGGCTCAAGAGGTTACCTGATCAAGTTTACTTCACTTCAATTTTACCAGACTAGCTCTCCTATTACAAGGCTGAGAAACTTATAAGCTACAGGTTCTCAGAACTAGGCAGGACTTTATCATTCTGGCCTGAGATTATTACCTGTAAGTATTGTAAGATGTATTACCATTATGCACAAGGAAGACTATCACCAATTTGCTAGGATAATAAAGACTAACACAATCCTGGTATTGGAGAGGTGACTGAAAAAAATCCCCACAAATACAGACACTGCATCCTGAATTCGGGAAAATTTCCTTCACATGTACTCTGAAGATAAGATGCATTTTTACAAAAGGCCTGTGGGAACAGCAAGGCCACTGATGAGAGAAGTTAGCCACATGCCACTGCATGACAGCTGTTCAATCTATACACAGAAAGATCCTACAAACTGGGGAACAAAGCTCTTCTCAGACCTCAAAGTATTAAGCCACAGTGACTAAGTGGGACTATCATTCAAAATTAAAAACTACTCTAAACAAAGGATTTTCGAAATTGACAGTAGTTTTCCTTATCTAAACCAGTATGGCTGCTGCAAAAGAACATACATACCGTAGGTATTTTCCCACTCAGATTTCACACTGGGATGGTATTAATACGATGCTTCAGTTGAATAAAATTTGATGAAAATAAAGCAGTATTTCTTTTTAACCCTCCCCATATCAAAAGTGACCAGAAAGGACCACCAAAGTATCAAAGAGTTTTTAGAACCTTCTCTGACTAAACAAAAATTAACTGAAACAAGATCCCAACTGCTTAAACTTCATGACTTTGAGGGTAACAGTAAGTAGGAAACATACCAGTGGAGCAAAGTCTTGAAAGCATAAAAAAAAGTGTATTTAAGCATTTTGTCCTGATGCAGCTAACCCCCAACTCCCACCATGAAAGAACTTGAAAAATTAAAATGAGAGAAAAAAAGTAAAGTCAAAGGTCATCAGAAAGACCTTAGACTGTACTTCTGCTGTACAAGAACACAAAGCTATACTAGAGATTGTGCAACCCTTATATTGCATACTTACACAATGTATTTGTATATAAAATCTTAGTCCTAGAAGATGGACAATACTTCTATGCTTTATCAAGCTTCCTGACAATAAGTACTTTATTCTTCAGGAGCTACAACTGCTATGCCAATCCAAGTGGCCAAGATGAAAGGCTGCAGAATAAGCTTCCATCATGTTTAATTTCATGCCAAAGAACAGAAATGTTCTGCAGCATGCAACTCATCTCCCATATGACCAGGTGTATTGAGTATCTTTACTGCTATGTTGATATAATGTAAAGATAGCCCAGTTTCACTAACACACAGAAATATGGTTTAATTTGGTCACCATTAAGACTTGACATCTGTGGAATATTGCTCTTCAAGTAATAATAGCACCCTATCACCAACAAGCACAGGACCAACAGTTGGGTCCCCAGTCTTATCTTCCAAGGTGGACAGCATCAGAACTAAGAAGAGACTACTAGCTCCATTTCAGAATTGTTTCAGTGAGGGGCATCCACTGAAGCTACAGCAGACACGGGAAACACAAAGACGAGTTAATTATTTTCAACACAGAGTTGATATATCAGACAATTTTACCAACAGCCACAAAGGAACTGTTTACAGATAGCAACATGGTTAAAATAATATAGCCATGTATGAAAACAAATCAGAATTAACAAGGCACTCATCACAGGATCTAAGAAACACCACATAGCTACCATCTTGAGCCTGATGTATCCCTGTCACGGGTTTGAATGAGTGGTGGAGTTTTTTCGGTAGCAGAGCAGGGGGCTCCAGGGGTGTCCCCCTGTGAAAAGCTTCTCAAAGCTCCCACAGCTCCAAGTCAGCTCCACCTCTGCATGAAAACTGAGCCAATCGGCTGCGCCTCTGCGATAACGTATTTAAGAAGGGACGTGGTGACGGGCAGTGGGACTTGTGAGGAGGAGTTGCTGCAGCTGCATGAACACCAAGGTCAGTGGAGGAACAGAGGAAGAAAAGAGGGGGGAGGTGTGCTGGAGCAGAGACCCCCCTGTATCTTGTGGTGAGACGGCAGCGCGGCCACCCCTGCCACCCATGAAGATCTACGGTGGAGCAGACACGGATTTATGGCCTGTGTTTCATTTCACCTGGATGATCAAGGTGCTGTGTCTGAAGAAGGCCGGGGTCTCATGGGAAAAGGTAGCCCCGCTGCTGTAATTCAGTGCTGGGAGGATTGCAGCATGCAGGGGAGTCCCACACCGGAGCAGCTCGGGAAGGGCTGCAGCCGTGGGAGGGAATCCAGTCAGAGGAAGTTAGTGACCCAAGACAGACCAGTGTGGGGAACACTTGCGGCCTGTGGGAGGGACTCATGTCGGAGAAAGTTTGTGGAGGACTGTCTCCTGTGAGAGGGGGACC